GGTTGTTGTATGGATTCCGTGTATTGGTAAGTTAACCACTTGGAAAAAAATGCCTCTCACACGAGAAGCACACGATTTTTCATCTTTTAGGGACAAACCTCTACATCCTAAAGTAGAGTTACCATATGCTTAGAGTGAGGTAGGATCTCATGGGCAGCTCAGAGCCACACTGTTTCTGGGGTGTTGCCAGTGAGGCTGGTACACTGGGCAGGTAGGTGCATGCCCTGTTGAATAGCACTGTAAATACCCACACTGTGGCAGACTGTAGTTTACTAGTGGTTTAACAACCAGATGACAGAATTCTGAATATGTACTGGGTGGCTCCCATAAGCTGGTACCACTGGGTTCCAGCACAGCATTGGGGTTGCACCAACGTGGCCACTGGGCCAGCAGACATCATTGAGAAGTGACATCCTTCTGTAGGAAAGGGCTAGGTCTGTAGGAAAAGGGAAGAGAAAATTAAAAGTAATAGACACACTCTGTGCCCTTGAGGACCAACATTTGAATTTAGAGACCAGGTAGGTGAATCAGGACCTGTTCATTGTGGACGTGTGAGCTGGGCCTCTTCCTTCTGGTTAAGGTCTCATCATTATTTCTGGAAAAGTGACCCACAAAGGCAAAGTGCACTGTCAAACTGAGCAGTTGTGTTTCAGACTGGGGAGGATTTGGTAAAAGTGGGAAGTCTTTTGGGGTCGGCCAGTTGGGTCCTTGGAGGAAACAAAAATGATTCCGGCCTTGGAGATGAACTTGAAATAAATCAGCACAGAGTTAAAAGATCTCCCTGAAGCACCGTGTCCGGTCATTTGTGGAGATGACAGGCATAAATCCCCTGTCATCACCCAGCCTGAAGGTCCAACTATTTAAGAAAGACAACGAGCTTTCACTAAATTAGCTATTAATTTTATGGCCGAGAGTAGAGAATTTAATGCTCCTTTCTAATTGCTTTATTTTCTGGGGGTTTTTTTGTTGTTGTTGTTTTTTGTTTTTTTTTTGTTTTTTTTGTTTTTTTTTGCTGAAAATGGTCCTGTCTGTTGGAAAGATACCATGTGAGATTTTGCCATTCTCGTTTTATTTACTTAATTATGTGATGTCAA